AGGCTGGCCTCGAACTCACAGAGATCCACCTGCCTATGCCTCTCGAGTGCTGGGATTAAAGGCATGCCACCACTGCCTGGCTGCCATTAATTTTTTAAAAAGATTTATTATATACACCACAGCTCAGTATAGATGGCTGTGAGGTAAGTCACCATGTGGTTGCTGGGAATTGAACTCAGGTCTTCTGGAAGAGCAGCCAGTGCTCTTAACCTTTGAGCCATCTTTCCAGCCCTCATTCCTTGGGATTAAACAAAAGACCCTGCGTATACTAGACAAGCCTACCCTTAAGCCACGCCCCCAGCCCCTCCTGGGGGATTCTAGGCGGGGCTCCACCCCTGAGCCACGCCCCCAGCCCCTCACTGGGGGATTCTAGGCAGGGGCTCCACCCCTGAGCCACGCCCCCAGCCCCTCATTGGGGGATTCTAGGCGGGCTCCACCCTGAGCCACGCCCTCAGCCCCTCCTGGGGATTCTAGGCGGGCGCTCCACCCCTGACCACGCCTCCAGCCCCTCACTGGGAATTCTAGGCAGGGGCTCCACCCTGACCATGCCCCCAGCCCCTCCTGGGGGATTCTAAGCACAGTCTCTACCCGAGTCATGCCTCCATTCCTTTCCGTTATGTATGCTCGTTTATTGTGTGTGTGTGTGTGTGTGTGTGTGTGTGACAGCCCGAGTGTGAAGATCTGAGGACAGCTTGCCGGAGTCAGTTCTCTCCTTCCACCATGTGCATGTGGGTTCCAGGGATGAACTCAGGTCATCAGGTATGGCAGCAATGAGCTTTACCTGAAGAGCAGGCTTGCTGACCCTGCACAACAGTGTCTTCGGAACCTCCCTGTTGACCTTACTGTGTGTGGGAATCTGAAGGGTGCTCGGTGACCGCCCAGATCCTCCTGGCCTCTCCACATCCACTCCTTACGCCACATGTGGAGATACCCGTGGTTTGTGCCCCTCACTGTGGGATGAGTACTTCAGAACTGCACACACAGCTGTCCTGCCAACCTGAGACAAGGCTCCCCAGGGCCTGAGGTCACAGGAACACATTGCTGTGGTTTTCAGTTGAGCTTTCCATCTTGAGAGGATTCTGTAGAGGTAACAAAGGTGGGGACTTGGGATCGTCACTGTCTTGGCTGCAGTGAGGCACCTGCAAGCACTCCTCTAGGGGACCTGATGGACACGACCCAGCGACACGTTTTGTTTTCTGAGGTCAGCGAACACCTGCCATTTGGAAAGTCTGGAGGCTGTTAGACTGCTCTGAGGCCACAGGGAGAGCACTTGCAGGGAGGAGAGCTGGTGGTCACTGGCTACGGGAGCTGATGCCCAGAGGCTCCACAGGGTCCCTTTGTAGCAGGAACCCACAATTCATCTTAAATCAGTCAAAAGTGAGGACACACCAAAGTCGTTAAGAGACACTCGCACTCCATGCTGCAATGAAAGGTCCCCTCCCCTTTCTGTTCCCCACCATCAAGTCCTGCATGAGACAGGGTCTCACGATGCTGTCCGTGCTGGTCTCAGACTCCTGGGCTCAGGATCCTCCAGCCTGAGGCTCCTCGGAGCTGACACTGTCACCAAGCTGCCTCCACCTCCATGTGCTGGGATGACAGGTGCAAACCACTTTTTTTTTTAAATTTATTTATTATGTAATACAGTGTTCTGCCTGCATGTGCCAGAAGAGGGCACCAGATCTCAATACAGGCAGTTGTGAGCCACCATGTGGTTGCTGGGAATTGAACTCAGAACCTCTGGAAGAGCCATCGCTCCAGCCCGCAGACCACTCTTATCTGGGGACGGAACTCAAGCGTCTGTGCAGTACCAGGCAAGCACAGCAGCAAACGAGCTACCTGCCTATCCCATTTTTTACTTTTCAAGACAGTCTTATGTAGCCCAGACTAGCCTCAAGCTTACCAGGACCCTGAACTCTTTTAAATTAAGACAGGGTCTTGCTGGGTGGCGGAGCAGGCAGACCTCTGAGTTCAAGGCCAGCCTGGTCTACAAGGTGAGTTCCAGGACAGCCAGGGATAGAGAGAGAAAAACCCTGTCTTGGAAAAAAACAACCCAAAAGACCCCCAAAACAAAACAAACAAGGGTCTTCCTGTGTAGCCCTGGCTACACTGGAACTCACGCTGTAGACTGGGCTGACAGGACTCGATGACCTACCTGCCCCTGTCACCTGACTACGAGGATCGAAGGTGTGTGCCACAACTGCTGGCTAAGTCTGATTTAAAATGTTCAATATAGGCCAGGCAGTGGCGCACACCTTTAATTCCAGGTCTCAAGAGGCAGAGGCAGGTGGATCTCTGTGATCCACACAGAGAAACTCTGTCTCAACAACAAAATTTTTTTTTTCTCTTTATTGTGTGCCTGTGTGTAGAGGTCAGAGGTCAATGTGGAGTTGGTTCTTTCCCATGTTTCCCAGAGATCAAACTCAGGCCACCAGGCTTGGCGGCAGGTACCTTCATCATCTTTCTAGGCCCCAGTTGGCTATTAAAAGCCCCAATGTACGAGCAAGGAGGGGTCAAGATACAAAAGTTAAAATGTCCCAATTATAGCTCGCCCATTGGAAGGAGGCAGTTGGGCCAATGGCATGTATATTAGAGGGTTGATGTTGGACCACATCCCCTTTTTTTCTTGGCTCCCCCTTGATGCTCAGTCTCAGTAGTTAGGAAGGTGCCGGGGCCATCCATGACCTTGGACGGAAACCTCTGGAATCTTGAGGCAGAGTCAGCCGCAGTCTACAATGGCACCATGTAAGGGTGAGGGTCAGGGTTCAGTTCCCTGATCCCAAGTGAAGATTCCAGCAGGGTGGTTTGTGCTCATGTTTCCAACATTTCAAAGTTGGAGACAGGAGGATCCTGGGGCCCAGTGGCCAGGCAGGAGGATGCCACAGATGGGGTTCTCTAGAGGACCAGTACAGAGGGACAAATATGTGAACACACATCCATCAGAATTTATTTATTTTTCTCCAGACAGTGTTTCTCCGTGTGGCTCTGGCTGTCCTGGAACTCACTCTGTAGATCAGGCTGGCCCTGGACTCTGAGTGCTGGGATTAAATAGCAAGGACAGGGGCTGGGGACCTGGTAGTCACTCAGTTCCAGGACAGCCAGGGCTCTGCAGAGACCCGGTCTCAAAACCTCAAAACAAAACCCAGAAGTGCTGGTGATGTCCCAAATGGAAAGTGTAGAAAATGAAAGTGCAAAATTTTGTCAGAAAACTGCACCACCGGAACCTCCTTCGGTGTCTGAGGAAAAGGCGAGGAGGGAGCATGAGCGGCCGAACAGGCGGCTGGGGAAACGCTCACAAAGTGGCAGACAGGCTGCCTGGAGCCATTCCAGGGTCAGGCCTGCACTGTGATTAGTTCTGTCCAGGGCAGGGACTGTGGCCCCTGAGGGCGTCTGGGCTGAAGTACCACTGGCTGACCGTGGGGGTGCCCTGGGCCTCTTCCCAGACTTCCTGGTTTATCAAGGCTGCTTCTTTACTGGCCTGGGAGGAAAGTTCCAGCACCTGGCAGATGATCCTGTGGAAAGAGAAAAGAGAAGGGACAACTTTGCCTGTGGCCATAACTCTAATGGAGATCTTAGAAAAACAAACTTTTTTTTTTTTTTGTTTCTCAAGACAGGGTTTCTCTGTGTAGCTTTGCGCCTTTCCTGGAACTCACTTGGTAGCCCAGGCTGGCCTCGAACTCACAGAGATCCACCTGTCTCTGCCTCCCGAGTGCTGGGATTAAAGGCGTGCACCACCACCGCCCGGCCAAAAAACAAACTTTTTACAAGAGATTTATTTTGTTGTGTGCAGCTCATCTGTGGGGGTCAAAGGGCAATTTACAGGGATCAGGTCTCTCCTAGGTCCTGACCTCAAGTCACCAAGCTTTCCTTGAAGAGTGATCTCAGGACTCTAATGGTGACTTTGAAAGTGACAAGGCTTGTAAGGCAGGGCAGAACATTGGCAATGGCTGCAAATTTGGGGGCAAGTATGCATGTGCACATGTGCATGTGTGCCTGTGCATGTGCCCATATGTTGCTGGAGACAGAACCAGGGCCTTGTGCATACTGAGCAAGAATTGTGACCGAGTTCCCTCCATTCCATGATGTCCTTTTATTGCTTCTTGAGACAGCACCCAAGTGCTCACCCTCTGCTCCATGTGAGTGGTGGCTCACCTACCCTGTAGGACAGTTCTAGGTGTGGTGTGCTTCAGAGTCCCTGCAAAGTCCTTTGGGCATCTCCTTGAATGCATTTAGCACTGTGAGAGCAGATGGAGCAAGATTTTTTTGGGGTGGCCAAATGGCTTAGTGGGTGAAGGTGCTTGCTGCCAAGCCTGCTGATGACCTCGGTTTGACCCCTGGGTCCCACACAGTGGAAAGAGAGAACAGATTCTCAAAGCTGTCCTCTGATCTCCACACTCATGCCTTTGCATGCATGTGCCCAAACACATAAAAATAAATACTCAAAAAAATCCAAAACATGCCGGGCGGTGGTGGTGCATGTCTGTAATCCCAGCACCCAGGAGGCAGAGCCAGGTGGATCTCTGTGAGTTCAAGGCCAGCCTCGTCTACAGAGCGATATCCAGGACAGGCACCAAAACTACACAGAGAAACCCTGTCTCAAAAACAAAACAAAACAAAACAAAACAAAACAAAACAAAAACCCCAAAAAGCATGCAAATGTTCTGCCCTGCCTTACAAGCCTTGTCACTTTCAAAGTCACCATTAGAGTCCTGAGATCACTCTTCAAGTAAAGCCTGAGTTCAGTCCCCAGGACCTAGGAGAGACCTGATCCCTGTAAATTGCTGGGTGTGTGTGGTGCTACATGCTTGCCATTCTAGAACTCTGCGAGCTGAGGCAGGAGGATTCCTGTAAGTTCAATGCCACATTGGGTTACATAGTGAGACCTAGTCTCAAAAAAACACACAAAACAACAATGTAACTCAAGAAACCCCCAAACTGGCCAGACACTGGTGAGGCACATGCCTTTAATCCAGGAAGTTGGGAGTCAGAGGCAGGCAAATCTCTGAGTTCAAGGCCAGCCTGGTCTACAGAATAAATTACAGGATTACAGGGCTGTTACACAGCGAAAACCTGTCTAGAAACCAAACCAAACCAAACCAAAATCCAACCAACCAACCAACCAACCAACCAACCAACCAACCAACCAACAAGAAACCCCAAAACATTCTACTGAGACTGTATCTGGAAGATGTTTAACATGTGTTGAGCAAACTGTGGGGCCCAGGTAAGGTTCCCTCTGCCCCCTGGTGACGCAGCGCTGCAGTCTAGGGCATGACAGTGAGTGTGGGACGCTTTCCCTGCCCGTGCTGGTCTCGGGTCTCTACTGTTCCCAATCCTACTCTGCTGGACTCTGGCACGGTATGAATCTATGGCTCCATTGCACCTAAGGCCCCAATATCTCAGAACTCAGGAGCAGGCCAGAAGCTACCAGTGACTGCCAGTCACCAGGGCAGCAGTGACACAGCCTGGCCACTTTGGCAGTGTGGCAGCTGTGAGGCACTCACAGCAGAGGCCCCAAAAGCTGGCTGTCCAGACAGAACCAGCCTTCACCTGAGATGCCAGCTGGGTGGGGTTCCATCCCCAGCACCCCAATGGGAAAGAAAGGGAGGATGGAGAGAGGAGGGGGAGGGAGTTGCACCCCACACCTGTGGAGCTCCAGGTCCTTCTTGGCGGTCAAGTCCCGGAGCTCCTCCAGCAGGCACAGCACCTGTGCAGTGGCGTCCTCCGGCACCTGTGCAGTGGAGTCCCGGGAGCAGATGCCCAGCTCGCCCAGGAGCTGCAGGGTGGTCCTCAGGGCTGGCTGCAGATCATCTGTGGAGACAGCGCTGTTGGCAGGACTCTGGCGCCCACAGCGATAGCTGTTTGTGCTGTGTGGAGCTGGCTCTTCTCTATACTCAGGCAATGGGAGCAAAGGGAGGGATCCCAGCAGGTCTCACCTGTCCCTGGGAGTGTGGGTGCCAAGGGCACACTGGTAAGGGGGTCAGTGCTGAGTGTACACGCGGTGCCCGCATGACAGCTGCCCAGCAGGGCTCCCTATGGACCGAGGGAGCTGAGGCTTCAGGGGCAGCAGCTCGCTGCTGCTCTGCTCTCACCCTCTTCTTGTGAGCCGCAAGAAGATATTCTAGAGATTCAGCTGTGTATTAAAGCTACACCTAGAAATGCCAAGGCATTTTCTAGTGGGAAGCCATTTATCACGGAATATTTGGTGTTACTCAGCTTTAGTATTCAGCTGCTCCTCGTTATGAATTTCTTGTCCTCCTAATTCCCATAGAATGTGTATGTGTGAGCATCCCGCAGGCAGGACCTGCTGCCTCTGAGTTCTCTTCTCCCTTTTCAGTATTTGAATTGGGTATCTGCCGTTTGCAAAAACCCCCTTTTAGCTACATTCAAAGACAGGGCCAGCTCCAAACAAAGCACTGAAGGACAAGTGAGGAACAGAATAGCTACCAGACCACCTGCTAGGCACCTGAAGCCCCTGAACTAAGGTACAAGTCCTGTCCTTTCGAGGCAACCTGGCTCCTAGATGCATAGCTTTGTTTCTTGTGCAGACGAAGCTCAGACCATCCCTTGCCTTCAGGCCTAGTGGCTTTGCAGAGCAACTGACTGAGAACAGAGGAGGTTTTTGCATATCCAGGTGGAGTAAAGAGTGAGGCAGATTTCCTGGTGTCGTAGAGTGGCATGGTGAGAAGAAAAAGAACAAGGCGGTTTCTCTGGAGAGGGTAGACAGAACCGCATGGCCAGAGAAGAGAAGACAGATTCTGTAGAGGGTCAAGCAGATCTCTTGTAGAGCTTTCTGAGAGCCAAGAGTAAAGAGCCAGGAAGGATAGACAGAGGATGGAGGGACAGAGGACGAAGATGAGGTCAAAAGCACAGGAGCTTACTAAAACTATGAGGACTGGAAAAGTGGGCAGAGAGGAGCTGAATGTGAGGATGGAGCTGAAGCTGTATATGTAAATGAACAAAAGAGCTTGGTGTATCTAGATTCATTCCTGTGCTGTTGGTAGCGTCTCTCCTGGGCCCCCTGGGAAGGAAATTAAGAAGCTGGACCTCAAATTTTCTGAAACCCTGTGTCCTTCTACCGTGAGCTGACAAGCAAGATGCACCTGCCAGATGTGGTCTGGACCTGCACTTCCTGGCTTCCAGATCCAAACACACGAGATTCTGGCATCTGCAGCAGCTGTGAGAGGTTGTGGTACTCTGACAGCCACAAGTGTCCCGGCACAGGCCTGCACCACATGCAACCAAGCCTGGGCCAAGAGGGTGAAGCACCCGCCCCCTGCAGTGTCTGCAGTGCGTACAGACTGCTGCTCTGTCCTCACCTCGCAGTCAGTGAGCCGGTGCAGGCCACTGTCCTTTTTCCTTGTTACACAGCCCAGGATGAACAAACCCTATGCAGCTGAAAGGTCTCCATGAGGACATTTGCTCCAGAGAATACCCAAAATACACACAGCACTGGTCCATCGGTGACCTCCCCAACACCCCCACCCTGTTGGCAGGGCCCAGGACTCAGGGCCAGTAGGTGGGTGCCCCCACACTATCCTGCCATGTCCCCAGAGCCCTCCACCTGTGAAGTCGGCAGCTTGGGGCTGGAATCCCTGACTCAGTTGCCTGTGCCCTACCCATGCTGGGCAGGACACAGGTTCCAACACCACCCCAGGGTGGAGGCACCTAGAATATGGTGCATCTGAGTCTCGGGGCTCCTTCCTGCCGTGGTAATGCCACACAGCAGGCTGTTCCTACCTAGGAGCTCCTGTCCACTCCCCTGCATGTGGACGGCCTGCAGGGGCAGCTCATGTCGAGTGGTGTCCAAGGCTGTGGCCAGTGTCTTGTACTGCTCCTTGAAGCGCTCTGATACAGCCTGGAAAGGGCCGAGCACCTCCATCTGCAGGCAGAAGGGGGCACTGCAAGACACACCAGGCCACCCACACAGGAAGAACTATCCACATGCAGGAAGGAACGGGCCCTGCATGTGCTGAGCCCTGCAGGTCCCCAGCCTCATGGGTCAGCCTCCAGCCTCAGGTTTCCTGGCCACAGGAAAGTCACAAGGTTGGAGGCTGGCTGAGCCATCTCGTCCAGGTAACAGGATCCCCTCTGACCTGTCCTGGATAGGACACTGTTGCTGAGCTAGGCACCAGGGTAGGATGGCAGCTGACATTGCTGCCATCAGCTGGCAGGTGCCAAGTGTTCTGCACGTCTTGTGGCAGACACAGGCGTCCATACACAGTCTAGGCTAACATCAGGAGCCTAAGCAGAGTGGGCAGAATGCAAGAGGTGACACCCTGACCCTTGCTCCCTCATGCACCCTGGCTTCAGGAGCATGCTCAGACCCACCTGGGCATCCAGGATGGTAGCCAGCTCCTGGTGTTTCTGCCGGAGCAGCAGCTGGCGCCGCAGCTCCAGCACCCGCCCCTGTAGCCTCTCCTTCTCACGGCACACGGCTGCCAAGTCCTTCTCAGCCTTCTCCTCCAGCAGAGTCAGGTTCTCTTCCATCTGTGGGTGCAAGGCCAACTCAGGTGGGGTGGGGGACACGACAGAAGACCCTCTGGTGCTCCTGAGGGCCAGCGACTCACCTTCACAGACAGCAGGGTCAGCAGCAATGTCTGCGACTCCATCATGTCCATGGTCTGCTGCAGATCCTGCAGGGGTCCAGCTGTTCAGTTCCCAGTGAGCCATGCTGACCTGGCTCTTCAGGGCATGGCAGAACCCCCAATCTGTGTACTTTATAGGTTCAAACAGAACTAGTGTCCAAGCGGTGGGGATGGAGCCAGGTCTCATCTTGCCCGGGAATGATATGGATGTTACCCCATCAGTATATGGGCACCAAAGGCCTGGCCTCCATCCTGGAGGACTGGGAGTCAGACCCACCCACTGCCCGCTATCCCTGTTCTCACCCGTCTCTTCTTGTGAAGGGTTCTCTTTCTCTGAGGGGTGGTGAAGGACGTCGACTCGGATTTCTCTGACGCTGTCCTGTCTAGCTGGGGAGGCTCTCTGAACATGCTTTTGTCTAAAATAGACCATTTCATTTATTTAGAAATGTCTTTCACTTGGCTTCTGGAGGTGTAGTCCAGGTTGGCCTACGACTGATTCTCCTGCCCCAGCTAGGGCTTCAGGCTTGTGCCACCATAAGTGGCCAAGAACATAACAGGTGTCTCTAGACTCATGATTCAGACTGTCACAAGAGGAAGATGTCACCCCCAACCCCACCACCCAGGCCCTCACGCTGCTTACGATTAGAGCACTGCCTGGGGCCTGTGCCTGCTTCAGCCACCCCACCAGGCAGGAGGGAACCGACCCACACTGCCAGCTGAGAACACACTGGGACTCACAATCCTAGGCCTGGTGTGCATGAAAGGCACAAACTCTTCTCACAGCATCGAGTCAAACTGGCAACAAGGGCTTTCTGAGCCTGGGGACCATCCTTACAAGCTCAGCCGCTGAGGGGCTAAAAGAAACCACTTACCGTTGATGGCTGAAAGGTCTAGGTCGCGTGGAGCTGTGCTGTGCCCTTCCAGCATGGTGGACTGCAGGTTTCCTCTTCCCATCACCCGGCTGTCTTCTGCCCAAAGAATGCCAGAGTCATTGGGCCTGCACCTCTTGGTACAGTACTGTGTGGGGCCCCTAGGATTATTTCTTCCAGGGTGTGTGGGTGCTGGACTCTTGTGCCTGTGAGCTCCATGGCTGAGGTGAGGGGCAGCTCCTCAATTCTCTTGTCCTTGTGCGCAGACTTACAGAACTGTGAGCTCAATAAGCCTCTTTAAATGTCTTATTTTTAGTAAGTTATTTACTGTGGTCAGTGAGACTGTTGTGGGCTGAGGTCCTTCTAGGCTGGTCCTAGGGACTGAACTCAGGGCACCAGGCATGCAGCCAGTGTCTTTACTGGCTGAGCCATCTCATGGGGTGGGGGTGGAAGAAATCTTTTTTATTTCTTTAAGGTTCAGTTTTTTGCCAGGTGGCAGCACACACCTTTAATCCTAGCACTTGGGAGGCAGAGGCAGGCAGATCTCTGTGAGTTCGAGGCCAGCCTGGTGTATAGAGCGAGTTCCAGGACAGCCAGGGATACAGAAAGAAACGCTGCCTTAAATATAAACAAACAAAAAATTTACTCTCCCTTTTTTCTAAGATTTTATTGATTAGATTAGTGTTCTGCCTGCATGTGTGCCTGCAGGCCAGAAGAGGGCACCAGATCTCATTACAGGTGGTTGTGAGCTGCCATATGTACTATGAATTGAACTTGGGTACTCTGGAAGAGAGCCATCTCTCCAGCCCCCTAAGATCTGCTGAGCCTTCTCTCTAGCCCCAACAAATCTTTTCTCAGAAGAGCAAATTACTGCCAAGCATCACTCACCCACACCTTTCCTCCAGCACTCAGGAGGCAGAGGCAGGTGGATCTCTATGAGTTACAGGACAGTCAGAGCCACACAGTGAGACCTTGTCTCAAAACCAGAGAAACAACTAGCACGCGGAGGAGACCCAATCTAGTGTTGGTGTGGCCCCGGGGTTCTGTTTATGTCTTTCCTCGGGACAATGAGGTTCCTCTTTGGATTCCTGAGCACTGAACGCGCCCTGTGGCTGCTGCTGAAGCCCAACATGACAGAGACCTAATGGGTGGTCTTCATGAAAAACTCTACCTTTCTGATGCCAATGGAGATTGAGAGCCCAATATGGCCAGCTTTGGCAAGCATTAATGTAAGCCTAGGAACTGTAGCCATGAGATTGGATTCTCCAGAAGAGATGCCAGCCAAAGTCATGCTGGGATCAAGAAAAATGGGCCTTGGTGGTTCGTGTTACTGGAGTTGTATCCATGCCAGTGGATGCTCACACGCTCCAGAAGAGAATTTGATATTGCTGCTGCCATTGTTGCTGTTATAGCAATGGAGGCCACTGCTGCTACTGTTTCTGGGATTACCATTTCATAATTGCTTACTACAGCTAGCACAGTGGAGACCCTGGCAACAAAAGTAGCTACCACAGTTAGTTAATCTTCCATTCTATTGGGCATGATAAATTCAATTCAGTAGTTATATACATCTCGATTGGCTTTGAAAATTATAAATTTATAAACTCAAGTTCCAGTTGCTTTTGGGATACCATCTTACAAGGACTCCAACGTACAGTATGGCTCGATAAGGAAGGGAATGGCTCAGTTGCCTTTAGCCTACTGGCTATGGGTGAGATAGGACCCCTGTGGGTCTTTTCTGTATCGAACACACAGATTGCAAGCCCAGTGCCACTTTGAGATCTTTGGCAGCAGTTACCTCTACAGCTCACACAAGATTGAGCCTGTATGATAATGAGTATTCAGAGACGGGTAATGCTTGGGGGGCACTCACCAACCTAAGACAGAGCACCTGTGTGGCCTGGGCAGGCATCTCCATGACAGGTAAGGTGACCTGCTGACGTCCCACACAACCCAAGTCAGAAGCTCATTTTTTAATAAAAGGGCCCTGGCCCCCATTTTGGGTAACTGTTGCCTTGCTTGCTGACCTTGACCTTGATATCCTCCCAATGCTAATTCCCTGCCAGGTTCCACCTTCCTGAATGCTTAAGGGAAGTTCCTTGTCTGTGTATCCTGAATAATGGGCGTTAACAGCTTAGATGCAAGATTGTAAAACATCGGGAGCCAACTTCTGCACTCTGGGGTTCTCCCATTGTGCTGTAAGCCTGTATTTAAGACCTCCTCCCTCCTTTAATAAATGACATTCGGCATTTAAAATAAAAAAAAAATAATTGAATGAATACTGTGAATGTAATCTATGAAGATCACAAATGTGATTAATATCATGAGTGTAATTAATGAATATCATGAGTGTAATTTAAAAAATTTTTTTGATGTACAAGTTGGGAAAAACATATTTGACATGTTTTTGTCAGAGGTCAATGTTGGAGGATGAGAAAAACTTGTTTGTTAGTATGGGAAAACAAGCTTGTTTTTGATGTATAAATAAAGATGGCTGGAGCTATTCAAGCAGACCATTTGTGTGAAACTAAAACAACAACAACAACAACAAAAAAACAGAGAAACAAACAACAACAAGCCCTGTCAACTCCCCAGCCAGGCATTCTAGACAGGTTAAAGGGACCATGGTGCCATTAGGCTTAGTGTTTCTTCTTTGTGGTGCTGGAGATGGAGCCCTGCTGAGCAAGTCCTGGGGTGATCATAACCCCCAAACCACAATTTGTAATTCCTAGAGATAAACAAAAATCTGTTCAGAGTGGTGGCCTGTAAGAGAGGTAGACAGGGGCTCTATTTACTGCGTTTCCAGCAGTGCTGCAGAGGGAAACAGAAACTGCACAGCACCACACGAGCTACTGACTTCTGGAGCCATGAAGTTAACAACAGCGCCTGTGCTCAAGGCCCAACCCAGACCCAGGGATTCAGAGCTGCCCTCAGACGCAAGGCAGCTTCTGGGCCAGTCTGGGCTACATGAGACCCCGCGTCAAAAAACTGGGGTGGGTGGCTGGCTCAGCCCACAAAGGCGCTTCCTTGCCTGGCAGGCCTGATGGTGGACTTGATCCCTGGAACGCACAGGAAGCCGGAAGGAGAGAGAACTCCACAGAGCTGCTCTCTGACTCCACATGTGCCAAGGTGCCAGGAACAGCTACCAATGATGACAAAATGAAATAAAAGTAGTTCCTCAGCTGTGACCAGGGGTGTCCTGTGCACCATGGGCTCAATTAGCACCTGTGGCTCCATTCACCAAAGGCCAAAATCCAAATAAAATGTCTGCATACATCCCTAAGCAGTCATCATCACTGATAGATGAGCACCTGTTTGATCCAGGCAGGTCCTGGCCCCTGACTGGCCAGCTTCAAACACAGCCCTCGGTCACATGAGAAAGTCCTAGCCAGACTCATGGGTTGCTCTCACCCCACCTGGTCTCATGGAGCCCAGGCTGCCTTCAATCTCCCCGTGTGGCCAAGGATGACTTTGAACTCCTGATCTTCCTATCTCTACCTCCTAAGTGCCCGGGTGCCAGGCACCCAGTGGGCTGTAGTTTCTACAGCGCCCCATAACCATCAGCAGGCAGCAGCTCCTGGCCAGCCCCACCCCCTCCCTGGATCTGCAAGTAGCTCCGTGGACATGTGGCTGTGCCCTCAGACACACTGCCCACGCTCCCATCACAAACACTTGAATGACATCCTTTCTGACAGTTTTCACTGCCCACCTGACACAATCTAGGATCCCCTGGAAGTGAGGGGCTGTCTGGATCGGGCTGGACTGTGGGCATGTCTGTGAGAGGTTATCTTGTTTGCTCTCGGGGAGGCTGGGCAGCTCCTTCCCTGATGCCAGAGTCCCAACCCTCACCCCCAGCCAGGCCCCACCTTTGCTCCTTGGCAATGCGCTGGTCTTCCTTCCCTCAGGTGGCTTCCCAGCAGCTGATATAGAAACCTGTTATGGAACAGTCAGAGGTCAGGCCACTTGACCTTTGATGTATTTGCTTAGAGGTCAGAGAGAGAAGCAGGAGTCTTGAAACTGTGTATACAGGACAAGCAGGATTTGTGTAACAGGGACAGTCATCAGACATGGGAAATTAATGGCACATCTGCTGGACTGCCTTCAACACCCAGCCATCTCGATGGGCCTGTGCTCCTGCGTGCTGTGGAGGTGCTGGCAACTGACTTCCTATGGCATTCTCAAGATGTGCTTGTTTTCTATACCTGTTGCTTTGGACTTAAGAGGACGCCAAATTTCTACTCTGGCGTAAGTCTTCAAAGCTTACAAACAGCAACAGTGGGTGCCAGGCTGCCAGTGACCCCAGGTAAAGCAAGAAGGAGCACGGTGGGGCGATGTTGTGGTCCATGCCCTTCTCACTCACCACTGCAGCAGGGACCCTCCCTAGGAAATAAAGGGACAGCAGGGTAAAAGAAGAAACTAAAACTAAAACCTACTCCTTGCAGAGACCACCTAAGCATATTCAGACTAGAGTGAAGAAGTTTGCCAAGTATGAGGGTCACTCTGGGCACCCAGGCTAGCCTCAGAGCCAGCAGGCTCAGACTCCCAGCCTGTATAGGTGGTGCCAGCCAGGCTCTCAAGGGCATGGAGAATCAGCCGTGAAGAACGGAGGGCAAACTCTGCTTCTCACCTGCCTGACAGTGGGGCTCGTTTACACTGGCCATGCTCACACTGGGACTGCTGCAGCCTTGGCTCCAGAACTTGGTGTCATCTCGCTCCAAAACTGCTTGTGCCTGTGCCCGCCCCTCACACCCAAGCTGCACAGGGAGTACACGTGAGTAGGGAACAAGCATGCACACTCAAGCAGATCTGGCTACCTGTCCTGGTGGAACTCCCAATAGCAGGTGTTGTAGACTATTATTTTAAGGTGTGTTACTTTAATGTTGCATTTGTTTAACTCTGTGAAGCTGTGTTACCGTGACTGTCTAAAACACCTGACGGGCTAATAAAGAACTGGCCAATAGCAAGGCAGGAGAAAGGATAGGTGGGGCTGGCTGGCAGGCAGAGAGAATATATAGGAGAACTCTGGAGGAAGAAAGATCAAAGAATAAGAGAGGCAGGAGGAAGACACCAGGGGCCAGCCACCCAGCCACGGAGTAGGAGTGAGATTTACAGAAGAGAACGAGAAGAGCCCAGAGGCAGAAAGTAGACAGGCCAAGTCAAGAAAAGCTGGCTAGAAACAAGTCAAGCTAAGGCCAGGCATTCATAATTTAAAAATCAGCCTCCATGTGCAATGTATTTCGGGCTGGGTGGTGGGCCCCCAAAAGACCAAAGACCAACTAACAACAAGCTGGGCTGTGGGACTTAGGGTCAGTCCAGCTAAAAGAGTCCATTGTGAAAGTAACTGGAGGGAGTGTGACCAGTGAATTGAAGAGTTGGCTTAGCGGTTAAGAGCACTTGCTCTTATGGAGGACCTGGATTCCACTCCCAGAACCCACACGGTAACTCCAGGGCATCCAATGCCCTCTTCTGACAGGCTGGCTGGGAGAGAGCTTGCCTAGCATGTGTGAGCCTTACATTCAACTTCAGCACCAGGAGCTAAACACAAGAAGTTGGGCCAGCGGGTAAAGGTGCTTGCCACCAAGCCTGACAAACCAAGTTTGACTGCAGGACCCCTGTGGTAAAGGGTGAGAATCTATTCCCACAAGTTGTCCTCTGACAGCCGTATGTACATGTTGGCCTGGACCCTGCTCCTAATGAGTAAAAATGTAAGTTTTAAAAAGTCACTGTGATACTGGGCGGTGGTGATGGCGCACGCCTTTAATCCCAGCACTTGGGAGGTAGAGCCAGGTGGATCTTTGTGAGTTCGAGGCCAGCCTGGTCTACAAAGGGAGATCCAGGACAGGTGCAAAGCTACACAGAGAAACCCTGTCTCAAAAACAAAAAACAAAAACAAAAAAACAAAAAAGTCACCATGAATTTCATTATTTGTACACTCAATGCTAATTAAAATGTTTCAATAGCACACCCTTAACAATTCAGACTGAGAATGGCATGTAATGAAGCCAGATGCCATCCTCACACATCATACATGAGAGCCTATGGGAAACCAACAAGAGCCACATGCTAAGGAGGGACCCAGGGTTCAGGGTCTTGAGACCCCCCCCCCCATGCTAGCACCTCCCCGACACTGACTCAGCAGTCCATGCAGTTAACCCCCAGGCTGTGGCACAGAGAAGGCCTATGTTCCATCCTTACCATGACACAGGCCTGTGCACATATCTGACTATTATGGGATAATCTTTTTGTACACTGTGAAGATGTGTCTCTGCCTAAGGTGCCTTCTGATTGGTGTAATAAAGAGCTGGATGGCCAATAGCTATGCAGGAGAGAATAGGTGGGACTTCCGGGAGGAATCTGAGGCTCTCATGAGTAAGCCAGTGAGACTCTGAGGGAGTCAGATACACAGTATGGAGAAGAGGTAACAAGCCATGTGGCAGAATGCAGATTAATATAAACTGGTTAATTTAAGTTTTAAGAACTAGTTGGAAACAAGTAAGTCTAAGCTAAGGCCAAGCTTTCATAATTAATAAGATGTCTCAGTGTCATTATTTGGAAACTGGTGGTCTAAAGAAAGTCTGACAGCATGTGACCAACAATCAGAGGTTGGACATGGTGGCTCCTGTCTTTAATTCAGCCTTCAGGAGGCAGAGGGAGGTGGATCTCTGTGAGTTCCAGGACAGGTAGAGATATGTAGAGAGACACTGTCTAAAGAAAAAAAATGAAAGAAACAAAAAATTCTACAAATACTGGTCTTTTGATTTGAAAACAAATCTAGAACTTCCGCTTCTTGACACGAGAATTGCTGGCTACAGCTGCTAACAACTGGCCACAAAGGCCAACTACAGAAAACCCCGAGACTCAGTAGTGTGAAAATGTCTGACTTAGAAAATGTTTGAACAGACAAGTGCACAATGACGTGAGAATTTAATGACCAACAAGTGGGGCTGTGGAGACACTCGGAGGGTCCAAGCTGTCACTCAGAAAGCCCGAGTTTGGGCCGGGCGGTGGTGGCGCACGCCTTTAATCCCAGCACTCGGGAGGCAGAGGCAGGCGGATCTCTGTGAGTTCGAGGCCAGCCTGGGCT